CCTCCCCCCGCCGGCTCCGTAACCCTGGCAACCTGGGAACCCAGGAGGCCGTTGACGCCGAGGTCGTCCAGCATCGCTACGTTGATGTGACAGCCTCGCTCCATCGCGTTCACTGTCAGTGTAAATGCACGTCGGGTTCATTTGTAATTCACCAGAAATAGCAAAACTTAAGCAAAATGGCTTCTAGAGACTTTTTTTGTGGGTCTACTCTAAATAGAGATGCCTACCGAATTGCATATGGCAAAGTGAAACTGGCTTAGCGGGATGGATTGTCAAACATTTTGAAGCTAAGTTTTATGGCGAATTATCGAACTTGTCTGACACGCTCCGCTCACATCCAATGACAAAAATTCATTCGTTCACAATTTGGCGTCACTCACCTCACACATGTGGTTCAAATTTTGATAAAAATCGCTCGGAAGTCTGTCTCCGAAGGATCCCTGGAAATGGCCCAAATGGCATTAAAACGTCTGCTTCAAGCGAAAAGGGCAGATTTGCTGTGTCGTCTCTGGCATTGGTTGTTGAGACTTTTTTGTGGGTCAACTATGTGGCGAAGTGAAATCAGCTTTGCAGGCTGCATTTTCAAACATTTCCGAGACAATGGTGGGCATGATCCCTTTGCGCGGTTCTGCTCAAGTCCATATCATACAATAATAAACATTTTTACGTCCTCTTTTTTTTAGTGTAAATGACTTGATTTAAGAAAAATTATCCAAATAATGTTCGTCTTTGTATTTAATGAATTTGCAATTAACCCCCATTTTTTTCCAGTGGTTGTCTTTGCGTCGTCTTAACCACGGTAGAATGTCAAAACGAATGAAGGATAAGACGAGGGCACTTCTGCAGTCTGTCGAGTTGAAATGCCGATGCTAAAAATCACGCTATGAACAAAACTATAGTGTTTTGCATTTATGAAATCAATTAACTGCTACAGCAAACATGACTTGGTAATGTGAACCCCATTTTTATCTTTTTTTTCATTTTCACACACGATTGGAAGGGGCTTGCTGTGCGGCGTGGCCATTGTTTTGTTTCTAAAATAGTGTCACCAAAAATGATAACCTGTAACCTGATGACATTGTAACCACTGTCCCTGAAAAGGTTAATGTGACAACAGCAATGAAAAAAACTTTTTTTTTTTTGCAATATGTACCTGTATCTGAAACTATAATATAGAAATACTGTATAACCTAGTTCATATATTTTTCAGTCTTTGAGACATTTAAGTAGAAAGAAGACCAACAGACTGAATAAAAACATAGGTATCATCTCATCACATGAAATGTAAATCATATATACAATTGTGTCCAATGCTCCCTAAATCAAACAAAGATTAAGAGTAAAAAATAAAATAAAATAAAAAGCAGCCGCAGAAGCGCAGAGCGGACGGACAGCTGAAAATATCCCCTTTCGTGACAAATATGAAACCATGAGGGAAACTCACCTGCAGGCCTTGCGAGCGAGCGGAGCTGCACTGGTCAGGAGGAGGCGAGGGAGGCTGACAAGCATCTCATGAGAGCTCCGGGTCAAAGGTCGTCGCCACAGCATGCCGCGTTAACCCTTTGCACACCAAACACAGCCCCCTACTACACAGCTTTTCCAGTCTTTTTATTTTTGGACTAAATATTCACTTTTTTTTAAAAGCTATTTTTATTCATTTTAAAGAGATACTATAAAACAAAATGAACTCATACGTGATAAGAATGAATTTCCATCCATCTCTTTTCTTTTACCCTATTCCTATCAATTTTCCTTCTTTTTCGAACACATCCGTGTTTCAGAGGTTGCGCCTCCGCTAAAAATCTAAAAAAAGGTGTACTGTACTGTAAAGGCTGCGTAATTATCTTTATGAGTCAGATACATGTTAAATTGCTCGTTTTTGGTGAAGAATGAATGTCATCATCCTCTGTAATCCTGTTTTTTATGCCGACAGAAGGCTATATATTCATTTTAGAATGCTGTACATCTTTGGGCGTGGTTATTGATTTATATTGTGAGATGCTAAGTTAAATTTGGTAGTTCGGGAAAAATCGGCAGTTGTTTAACAGCAGAGGGTCAATACATTGTTACACTGCTTGTACGATACGTATGTTGCTGGTGTCGGGCCAAAACCTCGTACGTTACAATTTGGTAAATGTTCATATTTTTTCACAAATCAATACTTTTCATATCATATCTTGACATCATTCACTTGGAAGGAAATTCACTTGATGTAGTATAGCAGTAAAGAATCCAGAACTCACAATTTTGCGGTATTTCTTTTTTATTATTATTATTATTTTTAAACTGCACATATGTATAAAACACCAAATATGTTTTTCACAATTTTTCGGATTTAAAAAAAAAAAAAAAAAACAAAACAACAACAAAAAAAAGATAGTCACCTTCTTAAAATAATGGCCTTTGTCATTTTTGTTCCCAAATAACAAAAAAAAAAAAAAAAAAAAACCTGACCCAAATACTGATTATATTTATTCATCATTTAATTTCAGCGGTCGAATTGAATGATCCATTGAACTAAGGATGTTGCCAATTTTTAGCAGAGGTAGCCAATCAGCATGAGACGTTCAAGGCAAAAAGAAAAAAAAAATCAATAGATAAAAGTTCAAATATGACTTGGGGCCATTATTTTAAGGCGCGGAAATGGAGATACATGTTTGTTTTTTTTTTAATTAGAGAGCAAACTGACGCCATCTTAAACAAAAGAATAATTTCACTTCGTCACATCAGAGGAAAATGATTTATATAACCCCTCCCCGAAAAAAAAAGTGATCATCACTTCAAATTTGATGGCGCTCTCTCGTATTGATCACCCCAAAATAAAACGAGACTATGAGTACATTTCCAGAAGCGCAGATTACAAATCACTACTGTGATAAAACATAATCCATGCCCGCCGTGTACAGTCCGTCCCCAAATATACCTCCCACATGTAACGACGATGATGGCGGTCAATATAAACGGTAAAAAGACAAACAGCGTTGTTCACAGATGAGCGGGGGCTTGAAATGAGGTTGTGTCATTTGACGCTCTCCACGGTCGAACGATATTTACAAACATGGATGGATGGACGCTGATAAATCCCAACAGGCGGTGTGCTTCATTTAAGTTCTTCTCCACACAGTTCAATCAATAAAGTTTTTGCATAAATAGCTCCTATTTACACAACATAAGCTGTACTTTTTCAGTACCCTGATTATGTCTCAGTGCCGCACTTGCTCATCTCGTTGTGACATTTGATTGTGATTACAGAAAACATATAAGTCATAAAAATATAACGTTTATTTAAAAAAAAAAAAAAATGCTGTTCATTCACGTCTCCGACCCGCTAGATTGTGCAAATGATTCCTAGAGGCAAATGTACAAATCATTTTTGGTTATGATTTTTAGAAGCGCAAGGGGGTGGGCAACCTATGGCGTGTACAGTGGCACCGACAGTTTTTTCAAATGACCAGCCAACTTTTCATTTTTTTTTTATTTTAATTTTGATTGACCGCTCACCTATTTTGTGACCGCGTCGCGTAATGTGCACAATTTGGCAGACAGCAAACAGTTACAAACGCTTAATAGTGCGAGTACAAACGCTCGGAGCACCCAACGATACCTAGTACCGATACCTCCAGCACTTTTGATATATAAAATTTCATGTAACAAATGTTATATTTAAAAAAAAAAAAAAAAACATTTTAAATTGTGAACAAAAACCTGTCTTCAAGTGATGTTCTGCAGATGTGTCAAGCTGGCGAGGTGTCGCGCCAACTCATGCCGAGGAGGACTAGCTCAATGTCAGATTTCTTTTTTTTTTTTTTTTGCCTTAAGCATCGGTGTCTGGTATCCACAGTCTCCACAACTACTCGATATCTTAAAATAAGGGCCGTATCAGCCCCTTTCTGTGCTCGAAAAATATGGACATTTTTTTAAAAATCAGCGTGATTGATGTCATGGGGAAAAACAGAACTGTTTATCGCACAACCGGACATTTTTTCCCCCTGCTGTGACGACACGTTATCAATCTGGTCACGGAACAAAAGGAAGGTACCCCTGTACCCAAAAAAAAAAAGAAAAAAAAAAAGAAAAAAAACCTAAAATTCAAAAGCCCCACCAAAAATATTTGGTTCCATTGTGCCATCATGCTTTCGTTCGTGTGTCCCTCAACTGGCCCCTGCTCGAAAAAGGTTGCCCACCCCTGCTTGAGCTCCAAGAGGTTCGACAGTTACGTGACACCAGAGCTCCTAAATACGTAGTGAACAGCACATTCTCTTTGACGAACAGTCTGAAAAATGGACTTGGTCGAGTCATTTCAAAACCAAACCGAAAGTTGATTTTTCTTTTCAGTGCAAAAAATGTCAGTGCCGCCAAGAGCAACAGCTGAACCTCGAGGGTCCGAACGGATGACGAGGCCGACGACGCAACACCTTCCACTTGAAATAATCCACATCATAAAAACAATTATTTGGAAGCTGTCGTGTCATAAAAAAAAAATATTCTCTTCTTTGGATTTTCTTTCTCCAATTTTATACAGAGAAAAGCTATACGGAAATTCGAGAATATTCTGTCATAATATTACATAATTGTTTTTGGAAAATAATTTGGGATACATTTTCTTACTCGTCTCCTCAACTTTACATTTTTTTCCTCATTATTTATAAGATCACAAGTTTGTTCTTTTTTCCTACTAAGATGAAAAACCTCTCTTGTTAAAATGATGACTTTTTCTCGTGAAACAACTTTTTAGCGGGTGTTTCATTTTATTTTCTGTACAATTTCAACCTTTTCCCTTCTAACTTATTTCCTGTCAAATGACCTTTTTTTTCTCCGCAAAACTTTTCCTTGTAAGATTTTGAGAACTGTGCTAAACAAAAACATGCATCTGAACCAAAACAGGAAAAATAATTTTGTCATATATGTAAAACTATACTAATGGATCCAAATTGTGATTGTTGATTTTGTATTACACTGAGCAGCCAGCACAAAAACTAAAATTGGTGCTCTCAAATGACAAACTCAAAAATGTATGGCGAAAAAAAAATTTTTTAAAAATTAATCAGAAACCGCTTTTGTCTCTGCGCTCGCGCTACTTTGTTCGCATCCGACTTGTATGACAACAACTTTAGGAGGTTGCACTGTTTTTACAAGGTAAGCATGTTGGAACAACGTCCACGAGCTCGTCCGATCCTTCTTCGCCGTTAGCAGCAAAAAGCGCAATGCCGTTGCACAATTGAAGACTCAGAGTGCGCTTTCGTTGAATGGAGCTCCAGACCACGCCCCCTTCCCCCCAGCATCCCTCCCCACCCCCCATTGCGCAGCGCCGCCGCTATGCCCAGCGCCCGCTCGACACGAAGCTTCGGCTGAAGGAGAAGCTGGTGTCCGAATTGGTGTGCTTGCCCCAGGCGCCGAAGGGCACCACCACAATGGTGCTGTTGTCCTCGGAGCCGTACTGCAGAGCCTGCCGGAGGACACGCCGAGGTCGTTTAGAAGCCGCAGCACGTGACCTGATATCCCCTGAGCCATGCGTGTATGAGTGTGTGTAGTTATAATCATAATCATAAATTTATAAGGCTGTCACAAAGACATGTTCACAAAGTTCTGAGGATTGGCTGACTCGAAATTGAAAGTGCCAAGGCAAGTCTTGCAATGCATTGATGAATCAATCGATTTACCCATCACTGATTGAAAACACACAAACTCACCACTGGGAAATTGCAGGTATTCATTTTTGGAAACAGTCCTCAGTATTTGTCTACTTTCTGTTTTGTATGCAAATTGAGAATTTGAATTGTACATAATTGAACGACTCGTGATTGTCGTTAAAGGAAATTAGGTTTCTTTCGAAGTTTACTTTGCAACTAACCTAACAAGCACTGTATACAGTCTACTTAAGCTCATTACTAATAGTTAAATGCCATGCATTTTTGTCGTTTACAAAAAAAAAAAAAAAAAAAGCCATTCAAGTGCAAACAACACAACATTTTTCCACTGATATCTCAAAACGACAGCGTTGACCCCGCTGAGGTCGTGTCAGCTCGTACCTGCTCAGAGATGCGTTGCGCCGCCTCTTTTGGGTCGTGACACTGGTTGATGACGTTGCAGATCTCCTGGCTGTTCATGATGAAGTTGACACCATCGGTGGTCAGCGCCAGGAAGGAATCGTGCACGGGGCTCAGCTTTGAGGGGTGGGGAAGAATCAATGATGATTCGTATATTAAAAACTTGACAGCACGGAAGATTGTGTGTTTGTGTGAACTTGGCACCACCTAGAGGCGTCTTTCTGCTACTGCAGCATTGAAGGCAATTCAATTATATCTGGAAAAAAATTCCCATTTTTTTTTTCCATTTGATAAATACAGTCAGAAAACTATTAAAGGCAAACACAGTTAACTTTACCATTACTGCCTCCCCCCCACCCCTGTTATATGACACGCAACAGTTTTTCACCTTGGCCAGAAATTAAAATGGGGCCAGGACTAAGCTAGGGGACTTTCACCTCGTCTCAACATGTCAACGTACCACGATTCTCTTGGTCTCTGGCTCGGCAATCACCCCGACGCCCTTCAAGTCAAAGTCACCGATGCTGCGCGTCATGGCCAGCCTGCCATTGACATTGGACTGCCCCAAACTGTTCCAAGTGATGAAGCCGCCGCTCCTCTTGATCCTAAGCAGACACAATACAGAGGCGCCTTAATTACAAAGGATGTTCTTTTCCCCTCCCATGTTGTCGTTCTGTGTAAGCGGCAGGCACACAATGGGCGCAAAAATTCGACCTGGAAATTTTCCAACTTTGGAAGTCCCATCAAGTTAACAGATTTTTTTTACTCTTGATACCACGAGTACTTTGGATACATAAAATGACAGTTAACATAATGACAATTGATTGTGAACGAAGCCTTCATTTTTTCAGACTGTTCTGGTCTCACCAGCGGTTTAGCTTACTCAAATTGGTGAAACACAGAGTTGAATAAATCTAGTCCAAGACGACGTAACTTGTTTTTAGACGTTACTAAACCACAGTAATGTCACGAGCACAAAATAGAGGTACAGTGTACCTGCGTTACGGAGATAGGGACCAGGCAGATGGTAAAAATCTACATGTAATTGACGGCTTTTGAAATGCAGTGATGGTTAAAAAAAAAGTGACACCTCAAACATAAAACACCAAGAATAATGAAAATGTATTTATAAAAATTCTCCAGTTTAACAATTTTACAATTGATGAGGCTCACAAACAATTTGCACGCCATTTAGTAGTAGTATTTAGTAGTGTGTGTGCCTCGAGGCCAAGGACCGGCTCGAGGAACACATCCCAGCTTAATAATCACACCAGTGCTGCCCAAACCTTTTGTGTGTGTGTTAATTTTTTTTCTACACATCTTAATAATCACACCAGTGCTGCCCAAACCTTTTCTCTGCCAAATCCCATAAAAGGAAAAAAAAAAAAAAGAAAAAGGCATCACCAACACTCTTCCTTAGGTTTGCCGTTTCCCAACAGCTCAAAAGAGTTACTATATCGGTCCGAACAAAGGTACCTTGAGCTCTACTGAACAGAAAACTGAAGAAACAAGGGTGACCTCATACTATCTTCCATGGTTGTATCGATGTAAACATTGCATCTTAACAGGCATTTGAGAGGATGGCAAAAGAAAAACATTCTGTCAACCACGCATGTCGGTATCGGCGGCTCTTATCGGCAGCCTTCATGAGTACCCAATACAACCGAAATAAGGTATCGGCCAGATAGTGCTACCTGGATTGAACTCCAAACCCGCACCACTTTTTTGGAGCATTTGCGCACTTGCCTCTCCTTCTCGTCCCTCCTTTCAGGTGTGTGGTCCACTGTGAGCTTGAGCGCCTTGCCCTTGCGGCACAGCATGGCGCGGCTGTCGCCCACGCTGGCCACAACCAGCTCGATGCCGTCCCTCAGCAGGGCCACGGTAGCAGTGGTGCCCGCGTTCACCCCGGGCGCTACAGAAACATTACGGAGGGCGTGCATGAGAGACGCGAGTTGACACTTCGCAGGTGTGCACAAACAAACCACAGGATGGATGTATATCTCGAGCGCGCACACACACACACAACACGCAGACATGAAGACAGGGGGTGGGAGAGGGGGTCATGTAGTAGATAAAACAGTTGGCAATGAAGGGGGGTGGGGGGGGGACTGTTGCACATGCACGTGAACAGTTGAGTGCGTTTGGTTAAATGTCCATCTCCAACAGCACTTAGCATTGCTTTGACAACCAAACAATCACATACAAAGTCAACTACTAATACAAATGCGGTCTGATGTTGATGTTGGGTTTTTTTTTGTTTTGTTTTTTAAACAATATAGCAGCAAAAATGATCCGTTTAATTTTCTCAAACGTAATTAGTCATTGACACATTTCGTTGCTGTTCAACTCGCCGTGAATACACCGCATTTTTAAGGGGGCATAGAGTGGATATTAAAAAGTCTGTACACCCGTGTTCAAATGCCAGGTTTCGGGAGGTACAACACAACAGACCAAGATAAATCATTTTGAAACTTTCCACCATGAATATCACACCAAAACCTGGAGTTCGAACAGGGGTGTGTAGAGTTTTCAGAGCAACTACATGAACAAAATTGGACTTTGTAATTGTTTTAGTCGACAGAATAAGAAAACGTTCTACTGTCGTGTTTTTGAGGGTGTATTACTTAAAAATTTGGTGCCTGGCCTGGTGAATGACTTGGCCGTAAGTTAATGAGACCGTAGAGCTGGCTGGCTGTTCAATGGCTAACCCCTTTAGACAAGTTTTGAATGAGTGTGTTTATTACACGTTTGTTTTCTATTTAAAAAAAAAAAGAAAGAAAGAATGAAAGCGCACCGGCAGCTGTGTCGATTTTGACCACTAGCTTGCGATCCTCGGCTATATTCGGCGAGCTAGCATCGATGTTAACTTATGTTGGCGATCGTAGAAAATGCTGTCGTAGTACACACGTCTCTTCGTCTATTTTTCTAAACGTAATATGATCTCAAACTTTGAACATTATGGGTCCTATTTTTGTAGACTGGCGCCCGTGCCCACTGCGTCAGAACAGACGTAACTTCATTTTCATTGTCGGGACAAGTCTAGTTTATCGCGTTTCGGACCGCGTTGTGCCTCAATGGCTGTTCCGGCGAATGGAGCTCCTGACGCAACAGACAATTTGATTAAGGCTGTGTCCGCGCAAAAAAAAAAAAAAAAAAAAAAAGGCGCATCTTCATTTTTAAACGTTCCGAGGACGTTTTGTATCCGCCTCCTCGACGGCACCTGCCAAGTCGGTGAGAGAAAATAGACTAAATTTTAGACTTCCTAAAACACGCCTAACTCGCGTTTAACTGTCGGACTGTCGTTTCCGAAAATGGCCGTCATCGAAAGAGTAACGCGGTCGCACGGGGGTTGTCATTGGACAGCAACGATATGCTTCAATGCATTTCCAACTGAACTTCAGCTCTCCAAACTTGCTCCACAGATGAGTTCCGTTAGCTAGGAGCGGCGTTCCCAGTGCCAATTGTGCACATTAGACTTGCTGCGTCTGCGTGAAGTATTTCTGGCAGTGGGTGACAACAGACGTTCTCAAACTGACGCGCGCTCTCACAAGAAGCTCTCGCAAGCACTCGTTAAGAGAACGAAGAGAGAGGGAGAGAGAGAGAGAGAGAGAGAGAGAGAGAAAGAGAGAGGGAGAGAGAAAGAGAGAGAGGAGTGAGAGAAAGATAGGGAACCTTCCAGAAGTCCAGGATTTAGGACCCGCTGGACTCTCTCTCCTTCAATATCTAGCCCCTCGTCATCCACATTGGTGCCAAGGGCCTCCAGCTCTGAGCTGGGTCCGCAGCTGCCGTAGATAACATGCACACACACACATACAGGCATATTGGGACATTTCACACAGCGCGGCGCCCCCGTGGGTGCCACGTCAACACGTCAACTAGTGTTAACATCAGCCCAAAACTAACACAGTTGGATTATGTTGCAAAATATTGCCCTTGCTTCATAGATAGACTCATCATTTGCATGCACTGTATGTTGTAGCTCAATGGTTGTGAAACTTTTTTTTTATACCACCTAAAATTTTTTTTTTAAATACTTTGCTCTCTAAGTACTATCTTTACCATCATTAGAATATAAAAGCATAGTAGGGCGAGGTGATCATCAATATTATGCAGTCTGAACATTCACTCCCAAAGACGTTTTTAAACATCTTTTCAGACTTGGTCCAGAATTGGCTGGTACCGAATGAGTTAAGTATGCAAAAAAAGAAAAACTTCTTGGACAAAGATTCGATTAAAATCTATTGCATCTAAATGAAACAAAAAACGGTACCTCATCCAACCTGTAGGACTAGATAAATTTTCCACTTCTTTCTACTTTGAAGTGCGCAGGGCTAAGATATGTAGACATGACCTGGGCGTAGACATCCTTTCCTTTTTTGTAAAGGTGAATTTTAAAATCTTGGTTAAGTTTTTATATGGTCAATGTGGATGGAAATCAGTCAATCAAAAATGGTACCTAAAAAAACAAACAAAAACAAATCCTAATTGTCTCGATATTGTCCCGAATAAACATGCAAAGAATAAACCCGTCGCATTTCTTTAGGAGATTAAATCCTTCCCAAAGCGTGTTTTGATGATAATGACTTCAAAATTAGGAGCTGACCCTAACGAGGACATACGGGATCACGTTTAAAGTCATTGATTAAGTGGAACCATAAAAGTTTGAGAAGAATTCCTCTCGGTGGCTGGCCAAGTTCCAATTTAAAAAATAAATAACTAAAAACACCCTCCATTCGAAAATACAGCAGTTTCTCGGTTTCTGACAGTCTCAACATAGGACATGCAAAGATCCGTTCCAGGATGCCGATTGAGCTTCAATTTGGCCCACAAGTCATGATGGAAAAAAAGTAAAGATCACACGTGTTTCATGATTCAACCTGGGCATTTAACTGTACCTGCAATTTTTTCAGGTCGCGTATTTGACAGTCCAAACTGTCATACAAAGTGTGAAACTAAGTTAACCCCCTGTGGTAGTTTAGGGGAAGTAGCATGGGAGTCGACTTTGTGTTTTTTTGGGGTTTTTTTTGCTGGCCTCTCCAAAGCCAATGTTCCAGGGGCAAAATGTATGAACAGAAAGGTCAAATAGCTGTCGGCTACATCCAACTGCCACACCCTCGGCGGTGAGTTACATCACAACACGGCTTTATAGGCAGTTGCTGACTTCCACGAAGCTACCGGAGCAGTGGATTTATTTTCCTCTTCTGGGAACATGTTCAATTTCCTCACAAATTTCCCCTCTTTGGAATACAGTCGTCTCAACTACTTTTCCATCTGTTGCCGGCAGCGTGGACCATCTGCGAGAGTGCGTGGAACATGTCATCAAGCGGCAGCTATGTGGGGTCTTAGAAAATCGGGTCTTGAATCTCATAAGTTTGGACTGTCATAAACTGAGCAACTCCTGAATTGACTGGGCTTCCCCCCACCCCACCTTGAAGTGTGCCACTCATCTCATTAGATGTCGAAAGCAGTCGAGAAGACATTAGTGCGCTCTGCCATTTGTTTTGGTCGTCTTGTTCATCAATCACGAGTTTAGCTTTGCTTTAAATCACAGACCTTCATGTTGCTAAACTCAACAACAAAAAGAAAAAAGGTATCATTGTGTAGGACAAAGAACACTAATATTTTTGGTCAACCTACCATCTGAAGAGCACTGCAAATGCTTGGCTAAAGCTTTGTCTACTTCCAGGAAGGCTCGAGTTAAAACCAGCTCCAGATTGTCCTCGCCGGCCACAAGATCCCTGCGACAACATACAAACCAATCTAAGTGCACAGAGAACCAACAACGACTTCTTTGTGAACGTTACGCTCTAAATAAATGTCTCAAATATTCGTCTCTGCTGTGTGCAACGTACGCCAGAGGAGCAAACAAGCGGAGGCACAATAGCTGCTTTCACGCCCAGGTCTTGACTTTCTGGTCGTCCCCTTCACTCCAAATGTGACTGTAATGTACGATGGCGAAATAACCCCCCGTATGCAACCTCACTCTATTCCGTGTCGGCACCTTTCACACCGAACAGCAATGGAGGAGGGGGGCGGGGGGACTTTGAAAATTATCACCATGGGCAACACAGCTCAGTTATGCATCGTCTGCTATCGAACAGAAGATCCTTTAAATGGTTGCAGCTGTCAGTATACATTACTGGTATGCATAGATGAACAAAAAATATACATTGTTGGGAAGTACAGTGGATATGGAGTCTTTTTGAATGCCAGGATTTTGTGATATAAAAAAGAGGGGATAAAAAAAACAATAAGAATAAACCTTTTATCACGTTTGGGAAATTTTATCATCTGATGAAACCAAGGTTCAACTGTTGGCCAAAATTCCAAAAGCTTTGGCATCTGATAGTGAATCATGTGGGTGGCAGCAACATGCGTTGGGGCTGTTTGTTTGTTGTTGTTTTGTTTTGTTTTTTTTCAATATGTATAGATTATTGGTGCCATCACATTAGTGGTGGGAAAAACTTTTGGAGTGACTTTCATTGGTCTCTGTCTCTTTTTTTTTCACATCGCATAACATTTGAACTGGGGTGTGTACTTTTTCGACTCACCGAAACTAATAAATGACCTGATCATCTCTCGTGGCACACTAATGTGCCAAAACATACCGATAGGATAATCTCGTGCTTCGGACATCTTGTCTGCAGTGCAGACCCTGGCATCTGTAAAGCTGACGTTTACAGAGTTGGAGCATTGTAAAAAAAAAAAAAAAAAAAACTGCCAAACTGTTTGACACCACCCCAGGATGAATGAGAAATGAATAAAATGATGTCCAGTGACAATAAAATAGCTCACAACGGACCCCTAACAGATGATTGGCTCCCCGAAGTTCGATCTAATCAAACCACATCCTTACTTGATAAAATTTTCCAAGTATTTGTGACAGAAATCCGCCGCTTCTGGTCCACCGTGCCCGTCAAACACAGCAAAGTAGATAATATTGTCGGTCATTTGGGAGAGCTGGAAGCGGTCTTCGTTCTCCTTGCGCTGCCCAATGAGCGAGGCGCAGCCCACATTGGAAAGGCTGACCTTGGGAATGGGCTTGCCGTAGCGGATGCTGGACGGCAGCAGGATGGGCTCGTCGATGCGATTGTCCCAGATGCCGAACGAGTCCCAGGTGGTGGGGCGCCCGCTGCTGTCGGCGTCGAAACGTGTGCCGCTGCGGCGCTTGTCTGAAGGCGTGTGGATCTGCCTCTTGGGGATGGCGGAGTAAAGGGCGATGTCCTGCTTCAACGGGAGGGGAGCCAGGGCCATTTGGGGGAGACCGTTACGTCCAACATGGGGTCCACTGCTGCACCTTGCCAGGCGGGCGAGAAAGGCGATTGACATCACCCTTAGAGCAGGAATACCAGAGAAGCACTGGATATCGAGGGATCCAATCACCTAACATTGGAAAAACAGGAGACACAATCATTATTTGGTTTTTCTGATTTGCGCGCACAGTAGAGATGAAGAATTTGGGATTTTTTTTTTCAAGGTTCTCTTTTTCTATGTATTTTTTTAACAGACACAAGCAATAAATTAATCTGTATAACAATAAATTATATCAGATTTATTGCACATAAACCTTTTGGTTTTATGTCTTAGTCTTATGATCAAATGAAGGCAAATAAACCATGAATTATTGTGAACGATGATTTATTTTTCTATTTCAATTGAAGTTGTTAACCGACCTACACTTTGACTTGGAGTCTTAACTGTTCACAATGACAAGCACTAAGCTTACTTGGAGACAATATAAAGAAATAAATTAAACACATAAAATAAAGCTGACTGACCAGCCAAAATGTAGCAATTTTCTTTGATCAAAATTGCAGCCTTTGCAATTTGAAAATTGCATTCAACTACATTGCAATGCAAATTTGATTGTACAGCCTTAGCAAAAACCCATGAGCAATTGAGCCCCACAACCCAAAAGGTTTGTAGCTGCTGATAACCATAAGAACAAATTAGTCAAAATTAAACTCCCCAAATCACTTAAATAGATAGTTCGATGGCAATGGGATGTCACAAGATGGTCTCGAAGTCGTGTTTTAATAATTTGGCCTGAGCACAGAGTAACTGTAACTGCCCCCCCGCCCCCTAAAGGCTAACAATTACTGTACATACATTCACCACAAGATAGTGATATACTTTATAGCTTTCTATATATTGTAGTCATTTGTGCTTTGTGTTGTTTTAATGGTCACATCGAAACGACAACGCAAATCCGTCGAATCACAAATAAGATTACGTATGACCAAATTCTTCGGCGAACATTAATTGCCTGTTTGATAGAACCGTATCCCTTTTCACATCTCGGACGCTCTCCAGTTGTTATGTAATGTATGAAGTGAAGCACATATTTAGCACAGGAAAGAGAGCCAAAAATGTGACGGTCCCATGCATTTCAATCCAAATGTGTAGCTAGCATGTTTTCTTGTCGTTAGCACGAGTTAACCGACGAGCTAGCTTCGACGACTTGGACAAAAAAAAAATTGCGTGCCACGGAACAATCTTACCTTAGATTTGTTTTTGAAAAAGCAGTCTTGTTTTATTCCCCCTTGAGACGCTTATTTTGTTGCCCCGTTGAATGGTTTACGCGCGGTGGCGAGCGACACTCCTCTCCCTTGTCTTGCTAGCTTGCATAACGCAATGTTGTTAAACAAGGAATAGAGGGCCGCTGGCCAATCGGAACGCTAGAAATCTCTTCTCCTCCGTGGACGCCCATAGAACAAGAAAACTGATTGGTGATTTAAGAGTGCAGATGACTGCTAAAACAACCAATCATCAATTAGAAGATTACGTAAGCAGCCACTGAGCAAAAACTCAGAGGCTGACCTAAATTATTATGTTTACTCCAGTGTCAATCGCATTTAGTAGATATATTATCGTAAAACCACAGACGAAAACGAACCTCCATTATATTCAATAAATATTATTATCCGAGGGTAAGGAGCCGCTGTTGATAAGAAATCAATTGGTTTTCAAAAGTGTGTGACCCCTCCCCAAACAAACAAAAATATTGATTCAAAATTGGGGCTGGGGGGGTAAAAAAATGCAGTTTTAATACACTTCCTCCCGTTAATCGTAGGATTCCTTTCGTATGACGTAACTGACGCCACAATCATGAGACTTCCTCGTTCCTCGCAAGACTTCAACCCAGCATCACCACTGGGTGTCAACACCCTTTAATATATATATACATATATATATATATATATATAGAGAGAGAGAGAGAGAGAGAGAGAGAGAGAGAGAGAGAGAGAGAGAGAGAGAGAGAGAGAGAGAGAGAGAGAGAGTTTTTAGCAAAGGATAGCTTCTGGTGGTTTAGAATGTGTTGTCAAGCTCACAACTACAGAAATGGGTGGTCCGATATAAAACAAGCATTGGTTTTGTTTACCCTTGGTTTTATTTTGTAATCATACCACACTTTCTTCTGCTGCTTTTAAAAGAAACAAAAGTGGTGTGGCATTACACTGTGCAGTGTCACGAGTTGTGAGTGGATTAGATGTCAAAATGTCAACATCATCCCATTACGTCACACGATCTTTCACTGATGGAATTAGTTTGGGCTTTATGCCATGTACCATCATTGCGATATGATGTACAGTAGAAACACAAAACAAAAACGATTTTTGTTTGATCTGACACACAAGATGTGCTTGTAGTTTGTGGAAAGTGTGTTTTTTAACAATAGGCTTAATGTGTGTTCTGTACATACTGTACATTGTTTTAATGAAAAAAATATTTGATGAAAATAGTTGAAAATCATATGGAGGTGAATCAATACAAGGAAAAAAATGCTCATTATTGGAGGTTTTGTCAAGCAAAAATAAAAATAGTGCTTGTCGTAAATAATTGTCAAATTATTCAACCTAATAAAGTGTGCCGTAAATAATTGTCAAATTATTCAATCTAATAAAGTATCGCTTTGGCGCCATCTTGCGGTACAATTGTGTCAAAGAACTATGCTGAACTGAGGGGAGGGGCATCATTGAATATGACCAAAGCGTACATCGTGTTTTGCCAAAAACTTGTGGCATCTACAGGCAATTTTTACTTTTTCTGTGGTGTGCTTCCAATGTTTAAAAACAACACAAAAAAGGTACTCAAGACAAAAAAAAAGCCACAAAGACCAAAGAGTCAGTAAAAATATCTTTTTACATTCTTATTATGTACAAAATACAAACAGTTTATGTACTAAAATGTACACACTCTCAATGTGCGAAGCCTCGCCAGTGCTTGTGTTCAATAAAAACCAATATTCACTCTGATTAACTTATCTGTAACCATTTCTGAAAAAGAAAAACAGAAACGTATGTGCTCACACAAACGTGAACATATGCATACATTGTTCAGATTTACAGCAGGAGGGAAAAGATTTGTACATTTATTACTAGTATTATCTTTTTAACACTAAACTCTCGCACACTCGAGGACTAAAGTAAAAAAAAACATGCTAAGTCTGATGTTACGAGTGATCACGAAATACACAGTGTGAGTCTTTGGGATATTCTATATGCAAGTATTATGGACCACGTAAAAAAAAAATGACAGAAGGTAGCCAATAAAAATACCGCCCAATTTTTCAGTTTGCTTTTTTTTCTCCTTTTCATCGTAAATGTAAGGACTTTTTTCTATTTCTGATTTTTAAAAAAACAGAAACATGCTTTTCAACAGATAGAGAATAAAGTCTGAATTTGCAGAACAAAGTCAAAACCAGACAAAGAATAATTTTGCGGGTAGTAATAGTACCAGAATGAAGATGCTATTTTGTGAGGAAAAAGTCATAAAATGAGCGAAGGTATAAAGTCTTGATTTTACCATAAAAAAGTTGTAAGATTATCAATGATTATTATGCCACAATTTTAACATTGTAATGTGAGAGGAAAAAAGAAGTCATGGCCAGTCTGGAGTCAAAATAAAGTCATAATTCTATGTGACAAGAAAAAAAAAATGTTACGGAAAAACTGTTAAAATAGCTGGAAGAATGAAACCATGTTTTTTACATTTAAAAAAAGGTGTGGAATAATCAACATTTGTGTTCATATAAAATTATTTTTTTAACCCAAAAAAACAATTTCGGCCTCACACATTACCTCCATTTTAATTTTTTTTGGTATGAAAAAGACAGTTATTTTCTGCCTCCAATTAAAATTTGTCTCTCACAAAGTTTCATGTTATTTTGTTCTTTTCCTTGTAAAATTCCGACCTTATTTGTGCAAAAATACAATTATGGCTTGCAGTATTACAGCTTTGTTTCTCACAAAAAAAAAAAAATCTTCATTATACAGTTCAATCTTTTTCCCCCCCGCGAAATTCCACTTTCGCACACCATTTGAAAAATTTGTTTTTGTCTCTTACTAAAACCCTGCAGAATATTCATTTAAGTCTTGCAAATGATTCCAGCAATTCTGTGACTTTATCCTCATATCGATATCATTTTGTTTTTTCTATTTTTACGGGTGGCCCATAATACTAAGAAAACAATCTTTTAGCAACTAGCAAACAATCTTCTACAGAGGTCATGTCATACGTTAAATCTCCAACAAATATAAAGTCTCTCATACAAAAATATCGCGCACCATTTTTTTTTTTAAATAGCATGTCGTCCACATAATTTTTTTTAAGACTTCTATGGCAAAAGGTGAGAAAGGTTGTCGTTGTGGTACAAACGGACGCAAATAAATTAGTAGACATTACAAGCGTGATTTTTTGGGGGGATGGGGGGGGGCGGTGAAGATTTAAGGTTCTACGCTACCACCAACCACCGGACAAACCATCATGACACTGAAGTCTTTGATTTGGCGTGTTTTTTTGCTCAGATGAACTTGGTGGACTCTCTTTTGCTGATGAGGACCTCCAGTAGCTTCAGTTTGGCTTTGACGTGCTTGTACTCGTTGTACTCGGTGGCGAGAGGCGAGCGGTCCTCCTTTTGAACATTCCTGAGAAAACATGACCACAGTCATCTGGGTTTCAGTTTGATTTAAAAATAGAATTGTTTTTGCGCTTTGGAAGACGATGCTTTTTCCAGACCTCCAAATGCATCAAATCAAATTCAGTACTTTTCCATACTTTGATTGTAAAAACCTGTTCTTACCTCCCATTTTGTCGAAAGAACTGCTCCTCAAACTCTTTGAGAGTCTTGCGGATTTGTTTCTTCTCCTCTCGGGTCTCCTGGAGTTGTTCCACCAGCTCTTGTCTACAAGTTGACGACAAAAATCGCATATGAAAAGCAATCTGAATTACACGACTAACCGGTGCAGTTTAGATCCTGAATTTCACCCGGCAAAATCCCATGTCACAGACTTTTTGTGAGTGGCGTATTTTGTGGTGAATCGTATCCTGCCGTTATTAAAGGCTTACGTGGTGGCGGAGTGCAGGTTGGACAGCCGCATGTCCGTGACGTTCTTGGAGGGCGTCAGTTCGTCAACTGGGGAAATGAATCCGTCCACGTCCTCGTGACCCAAGAAGCTGAACACGTTCAGGTCGGGACGAGTGGTCACAGAGAACTGCAGCTTGGCGTCTCCGTCATCCTCCGAGCCTTCCTCTTCCTCCTGCGTGGGGAAAGTGAGCTTGAAATGGGGTTCCAGATTGGCCGTGACTTGTGGAGGCTGTTCGAGACAATCCCAGACAGGTCGAGACTGGCTGGGAATCGACACGACTGATCGAGTTAGGCTGTGATTGGCAGCAACTGGTTGAGGCTGATTGCGACTAGCCGTGACTGGTCGAGTCCGGTTGAGACTTAAGTCTGACTGATCCAGTCAGGTTGAGACTGGGCGTGAGTAGTTGAGTCAGGATAACACTGGATGGCTCAGGCTGAGACTGGTCAAGTCATGTTGAAACCACTTGAGACTGGTACTGACTGTTTGAGACTGGTCAGGTCAGGTTGAGACGACTTGAGATCGCTACAGACCGTTTATGATCAGCAGTAACTGGTCAAGTCAGGCGAAGACTGGTCGAGATTGCTCAAGACTCGCCATAACAGGCCAAGTTAGGGGGCAGGGTGAGAAACTGACTGGTCAAGTCTCAGTGGCTGATCGAGTCAGGGTGAGACTGGCCGCAATTAGTTGAGTCAGGTGGAGACTAAACGATTCAGGTGGAAACTGGTAAAGTCAGGTTGAGGTGATTTGAGACCGCTAGTAACTGACCGTGGCTGTGACTGTCCAAGTCAAGTTCAAATTGGTTGTAACAGGTCAAGTTAGGTTGAGACAGATAAAATTGGGCAGTGACTGGTCGAGTCAGAGTGAGACTGCTTGAGACAGGTTGGGTCCGTTTGAGACTGGCTGTGACTGAGTGACATTAGCCTTGAGCGGTCAAGTCAGGTTGAGAGCGCTCGCGTAAGGTTGACTCCTCGAGACTGGCCGAGTCAGGTTGAGACAAGCCATGATTGGTCAAGTCAGACTGAGACCGAGTCAGGCATTTTCAAGTCGAGTCGTTATAAGTAAAGTTGGGTCAAGACTACTCGAGACGTTGCATTGACTGATTGAATCAAGCCAAGACTGGCTGTGTCAGGGCAAAGCTGTCTGAGATTGCTCAACATCGGTCAAGACTGGTCTCATCAGACCCAGACTGGGTGTGATTTGGGTTAGTGGTTAACAATCATAACCACCTTTTCTTACCCCTCATTCAGACTCCAACTGTTAGTTAGTAGAATCATATTCAAAACATGATCTGTCCAGGTGCAAGTCTGTGCTACATCATGTAAAAAAATGGAAAATGAAAATAATAAATTCATGCTCCACAGCAAAAACATCGATGTCAGGAATACACACACACCAAAATAAAATTAAACCTTCTCAAAGAAGACAAAATTGCATTGAGAGGTTTTGCCTTGGTGGAGGTCACGCCAATGTATACATGTTACGTCTTTATACGATTTATGTAGAGCATTTGGTGAGAACCGTGTTAGTAAAATGTCTCAAAAGCAACCATGGCGACAACAAACCTAAAAACCAACCACAAGCTACTGATTCAACACGAAAACAACGGGCAGCTGTCCAATCAACAGGCAGCCACGATGCGGGACGTTTACAGCAGGAGTGGGCAAACTTGAGAGCTCAAGGGCCACATTTGATTTTTAAAATCGAATGAAAACAAAAACGTGAAAAATTAAAAAAATTTAGGAAAATAGAACAACATTGTCACATTTTCAATTTGAAGATAAATTTGTTGAGTTTCATCAAACAACGAACGCCAATTTTGCATTGTATTCAGAATTAACGTAATAATTCACCAAAAATGAATAGATACATTTGAATAACCCAATTTTATGAGGAAAAAAAAAGATGAATCAATGCTCAATGGGCCGGAGTGAAGAGTAGAGCGGGCCTTGTGTGGCCCTCGGGCCATATCTTGCCCACCCCTGAGGGTAGTCAATAAATAAACAAATCAATAAAGGTAAAATAATGAAATCAATGGAAGAAGGGCGGGAGGGGGTTGACTGATTACGTAAGCAGCTCAATGCAGCATCAGCCCTTTCACCTTGACGTCGTCGAAGAAAAGCGCGGTTACGCCCTCGATAATGGGCTGCAGCAGGGGGCCTCGGCGCTTGCTGGAGGGCGAGCCCTGCGGTGACGTCGAGAAGTAGCCGTTAGCCGGCGTGGAGGTTACAGCGCCGCCGCCGCCGCCGCACTGGCCAGACGGACATGTTTTGCGTTAGCATCGCAAACAATACCACGCCGACAGTTTCATGGGGCCTCAGTGGAAATGGCACGGAGGGAGTCGGGTTCCCCAAGGCGGAGAAGTTAGCGCGTCGGTCGGTCATTCATGGTCAGCTACTGAGAAAAGGTCCTGTACTTTATGCTTTATCTTCAGTCTGATGGGGAACTGTTATTTTGCTACCCCCCCACCAAAAAAAAAAAAAAAAAAAAAAAAAATTAAAAGCTGCATTGCCCAAAAGTGGAAAATGAAAATATTTATAAATATACAAAAAAAAAGACATACAAAAATAATTAAATACAATATGAACCAATTGAAGTGGAGGGGGAACTTTTTTTTTCTCCCCCCCCCCCCAAAAAAAAAAAAAAAAAAAAAAAAATTAAAAGCTGCATTGCCCAAAAGTGGAAAATGAAAATATTTATAAATATACAAAAAAAAAGACATACAAAAATAATTAAATACAATATGAACCAATTGAATATTAAAAGTAAAAGTAAAAGTAATGAAAAAATAAGTCAAAATAAATACACAAACATATACAGATAAAAATAAATTAAAAATAATTGAAAATAAATCATCACAATCAAAAAACAGTGTTATTTCGATTGCTTACATTTTCTAAACTTAAAAAATAAATACAATATTACCACCTTAAATTGAATTTACAATATTACAGTCAAAAGGTAACAAAGGGGAAAAATTACATTTTAAATAAAAAATTTAAATTAAAAAAAACACTAAAATAAAATTTAAAAGGAAATCCAAAGAACACTGAAAAATAAAATTGCAAAATGCTTTCATCATTAATTTTTTTCACCGTCTATCTTAAGGTCATTTCTTCGAATGTCCATCTCTAAAGCATGCTCCACTACACTATCAAGTTCTTTCTTCTTGTATGAGGAAATACATGAAAAACACACACACACACATTTTACTTTGCATCGCTTGAAACGCGTCTCCGTACTTGAACGGACACACAAGCAATATGACCAAGAGTCTCCGCCATGTTCGCATCCTGATACATTTGCTGGACACATGACAGCTCAGCGCATCGAAAAAAAAAACATGTTGCAGCCACAAGGACCAAAGTTGCCCTTTGACATCAGCTTTCGTTTTAAAGCCACAACATTTATAGATGGGCTCACAAAGGCTCTTCACCGGATTGACTCCAATCGACATTTTTGCGAGTGTTTTTGGGAGGATTAAACTGTGCACATCATTTGCATACCTTTGCAAGAATAATACAGACCGAAGAATCGCGGACACTACAAAGACAGTGGCCCCAATTTGCGTGATGCGGGTGGGGAGGATTACAGAAAGACCGTTACGTAACGACATTCAGCGGAGATCATTTCTTACATAATGAACAATGGTTAACAAATACAGGAAAGGGCGCGATGTTTGGGGGCTATTTTTTATTTTTTTGCAGCGCCTGCCTTACACGTGTGCCCACAGCCGGCCCCGTCTGACACGAAAGCCAACAACATGAGCCGGGATTAAGCGCCCGCAGACGTTTGGACAATGTGCTCTCGGCACGAGCGAGGCTGGTGGGCAAAAAAAAAAAAAAGAGGCTGGAATTATATCACGGTGACTTACAATGACTGGGATGGTTGAGGCTCGGCACAGGATCTGCTTGACCAGCCGGTACCTGTCGTACAATGGCTTCATGATCTCCCTCTCACTCTTGGTCACCTGAGAAGATGAAAAACGGGGAAGGCTTATTATCATAGCCATGCTGCTGTCTTGGTTCAGCAATAGAGTTCGAACGGAATCAGCGGGGAAACTCTCTTAACAATCGCGTCAGTGACCAGAGATAATCACTGTGACCTCTTGAGTCATTGTTCACACTCCACTGGCAATCTGGGTCACGGGGGAATTGGAAGCAAGCTTATTTTCAAGGGCTGGACCCAAGGGACTGCCAGGAGATCAGGTAAAAGGTAAAGCAACGCCTGTTTAATTAATTTATTTACTTTATTTTATTTTAGCTAAGTTTGTGTTCAAATTGTGTCACTTATATGTATCGACTGATCAGGTCGTCGAAACGGGACAAAACCTAGGACTAGAGATAAACCCAGAATAAAATGAATCAAAACTTAGCGAATTTAAACAACAAAAGTCAAAAATGAAATTAAAAACTAGCAAAAATGGAAATATCCATCACCATTCTAACCCCGCGAGGCACCGTTGCAGTGATAAACAGACGAGTGAAAACGTGTCGTCACCATCCAAAAGTGTTGACTTACAGGTCGCCCATGAATGCTCTCGTAGTAAAGGAGAGCTTTCTGCAGGGCCAGTTTCTCAGCTCCGATCTGTTCTCTGGTCATATCCTGCCAGGATGGAACACACTGCGTCAAACGTCAACGGCTATCGGCAGACGATTTTTATGGTGCGATCCAACCGCAAGGGCGGCGCTTACCTTGATGTCCTCGGGCCGGTCGACCTCCTGGCGTTTCTCTTGCAACTTCTTGAGGATGCCCTCTAGCGTGCTTTCCACGGGGGGCTTGGGCACCTTCTCCTGGGCGGGTTTCTTCTCCAGCTGTGAGCCGAAGCTCTTGGGCAGCGTGTTGCTGCGTTGCCGCGTCAACGGCGGCAGGTCCTCCTCTGATTTCATCAGCTTGTGTTCTGGGAAAGGAAGGGCAGAGGTCACTGGTGTTTCTCCTTCATTCGGCGCTTGCGGGCTGTTTCTCGGTGGTTACCTTTGAGGTCTTTGCGCAACCTGGCTAGCTCGTTCATCCATCGCAGCACCTCTGGATTTCCAGCTTTGTCGCTGTGGGAAGGCTGGAAAAAAAAAGACATATTAAACCCTCATGTAATCACGGGTCAAAATAACCCGTCCAACAAACAAATAAAACAAACAAAAAAAAAAATAATAATAAAATCACTGCAGTGTCAAATTGTGTGAGTATTTTTATTGAAATAAACACGAAAATTATTTTTCCAATTTTCTCTAAATTTCAGATTTAAAAAATTAAAACAACAATTATCATCAGCACCAAAGAGCATGTGTCGCATCTCTAAATTGTATGAGGGTCTTTTTTTTTTAAACACATTATAAAAAAAAAAAAGAAGAAAGGTCTATTTTACTAAGTGCCTGCATTTTGGATTAAAAAAAACCCCATCTATTTTTAAAAAAATCAAAAGAGCATCTAACAAAAAGCATTTTTCTAAATTGCCTGGGTGAAAAAACAAAAAACCCCATTCATTCCCATTATATTTCTTATACCGCAGCTTGGTAGTTCTCAAACGTTTTAAACCAAGTGCCACATCAAAAACTACTTAGCGCTCCAAGTATCCCATTAAAATACACTAGCGTAGTCGCTCTAAGTGTTTGTATTGTCATTGCTGCACTTAAACGTAGGAAAATAGAAAAGTGCACATTCAACCAGATTAGTCATAAAAGTTAAATACAACTGAACTGTCTTTAACCAACCTACAATGTTTTAAAAAAATAGTTTTAGCCACTGTAGCATTCTGCACAGTTTAAAGATTCACTCAGAGACCCCCCCACCCCCCACACACATATCATATTTGAGCCCAATTCAACACAGATGTACATGTGGATTAATTCATCTCCAGTTCACAGAACATCGAACAACAATCCCAGACAGATTGATTGATTGATGTCGCATACGGTCTCGTGTCCACTTACCCGGTATTTCCGCTCGTCCTCAAACCTCTCCTCGAACCTGTGGATCTTCTTCTTTAGAACGTGTATCCTCTTGGTGAGCTGGGCGGTAGTCAGCTCCTCCTTGTCGTCATCGCAGGAGCCCAGAGAGGAGCTCCTCCTGCGACTACACACATTTAAGTCATGACAATGAAAACACCGTTATTACACTGCCAAAAACTCAAATCAAACAAAACGGTAAACAACCCATCAAATGGAGGTTGTTCTTTGCCTGCCAAGATATTTCATTTTACCGGGGGGCATTTACCTGATGAAGGAGTGGGCATTGGGCGGCGACGGCGGCACTTCCGTGTCGTCCAGATACTGCTGGCAGCGGCCATAGGCGTAGAAGCGGGGGGACGGCATGGGGTCGCTGCCTTCCTCCAGCAGCTGACGGATGAGGCGGCCGCCGGCGCCCGGCGATAGACGGGCTTCCTCGCGGTCTGGGTTGTCTCGCTGTAGCGACGAGTAAGCCGGCACGGGTTCTGTTTGACACGCACGTGGAACAAAGAGGGCACTCGCTCAAGTACACGTATTCAAAATGATTCAAGCGTAATTGTAGTTAATTTTATAATTCATGATTTGAACGCTATCATTTTCATTACATTCGTCAATATTTCAGTACATAGCCTCATTGTGTGGCGGCACAGTGGGCCACTGGTTAGCACGTTCGCCTCACAGTGCGGAGGTGCAGGGTTAGATTTTGGCTCTGGCCTCCCTGTGTGGAGTTTGCGTGCCTGCGTGGGTTTTCTCCGGGTACTCTGGTTTCCTCCCGCATTCCAAAAACATTTATGGCAGGCTGAGTGAAAACTCTAAATTGTCCCTAGGTGTGAGTGTGAGCGCGGATGATCGTTCGTCTCTGTGTGCCCTGCGATTGGCTGGCAACCGGTTCAGGGTGTCCCCAGCCTACTGCCCGAAGACGGCTGAGATAGGCTCCGGCACCAACCGCGACCCTTGTGAGGATGAGCCGATCAGAAAATGGATGGATATCCTCATTCTGATGTTTCCATCAATTTTTCATTTTGGCTATGAGAAATAAATGTTTTTGGACACACTTAAGTTATACCCCCTTCGAAAAAAGAGGTAAATGCAAAAAAAAAAAAAAAAAAAAAAAAAAAAAGCAGTACATTATGGCACTAGTACTAACAACTGGTACCGGGTGTTATTATTTATTTTTATACAAATATATTGTATATTATAAGTCTGGGGTAGGCTTTCAACTGAAACTTGTGCATCACTTGATAGTGTTTGCAACTATAAGAAATATTTGTTGGGACTCTTTAGCTGGATGAATGAGAACATTTTTGTCCAGTGGGAGCATGGTCAAGAGATGAAAAGCGAAGCCTCTGCGCTTGTTTTTCCCTCACTGCTCGTGTTCAAAGACAAAATGAGGACCGAGTGTTCCCATAGCAGCGTGCTAAATCTTCCATCGCTGGCAAAGTCACCGGACAGC